GGTTGGGAAGTAAACCACCGCTTTAGTGATGTAACAAAAGCCACTTAGTGGGAATTTGCCATTTGTCAGCCTGACCCAGCTGGCCTCCTTAGGAACGGGAGTTTTTAGCAAAAGAAAAAGATCAGAGTCAGGTCCCTCAACTCTTTCCTACCAGATGGGCCGCTGCCCGTCCAGCCGGCCCCACCCTCCTCGAGCCACCAAAGCCGAAACCTCCCGCAAGGAAAGTCCACACCTCCCCAACAGCCCCACCGCCTTCCTGGGGAAACGCCACCAGGGGACGAACTCAGCTGACGCTCCCGACCCCGGCCTGGACACCCCCAGCTCGCACACCGCTGGAGCCAGCAATACGCGGGGCCATGGGCGCTTGCTCAGTACCATCCGGGTTCTAAACACGGGCCGCCGTCAGGGGACCGGTCCCAGGAGGACGCGGTGCCAGCGGCAGGGCTAAGAGCTGCCTTGGTCCGGGGTCCCAGAATTTTGTGCTGCCGACCAGGCATCGCGGGCTTCCCCATGTTGGCGGCCCCTGAGACCCCGGGGGCGGGGGACTGTAGGGATTCTCATGCTCCGACCAACTAAACTCCGGACCCTCCGGGAGGGGCCCGGCCCCAGCAAACCCTGGGGACGCCCCAGCGCACACGCCAAGTCGCCAGCCGGCGGCGGGGACACGGCTGCTCCTCGCACGCAGGGCACCTCTGCAGCCCTGGCCTCTCACACCGCCAGGCCCACGTGCAGGCCTGTCTCATCTTTGCTCTTATGCCTCAAGGAATATGTTTCTTTTTCTTTTTCTTTCTTTTTTTTTTTTTTGAGACAGAGTCTCGCTTTGTTGCCAGGCTAGAGTGAGTGCCGTGGCGTCAGCCTAGCTCACAGCAACCTCAAACTCCTGGGCTCAAGCATCCTCCTGCCTCAGCCTCCCAGAGCTGGGACTACAGGCATGCCCACCATGCCCGCTAATTTTTTCTATATATATAGTTGGCCAATTATTCTTTCTATTTATAGTAGAGACGGGGGTCTCGCTCTTGCTCAGGCTGGTTTCGAACTCCTGACCTCGAGCAACCTCCCGCCTGGCTCCCAGAGTGCTGGGATTACAGGCGTGAGCCACTGCGCCCCGGCGGGATATGTTTTTAGGTCGTCATATTCACCAAATTTCTACCAAACACAACAAGCGGGGGATGCGTCGCCTTGGAATCCTATCACATTTGGGACGCGTGACACAGCATTTTTACCTGTAGATAACTCCACCTGGAGTCACGGATATGGAAACCTTGTCAATTTAAAGCAGCGGAACATTTTCAAAGTGTCCCTAAGTACCGGAGACAAGCTGCGCCCCTCCGTTGGCGAGGTGACGGCGTGGGAAGCAGGGGGGAGACAAGCTGCCGCCCTCCGTGGCGGAGGTGAGTGCGGGAGGAGCAGGGGTGGGAGTGGGGCGGGCGGGGCGGCTTCCCAGCGAAGTCAGCCTGCAGCGGAGGCTCTCGGCTGCCTGAGGTGAGGTGAGTACACCCCGAGAGATGATCCGGTCAACCAATCCGCTCACCTCGCCAAGGGGGCGCAGCTTGTTACCTGGTACTTAGGGACACTTTGAAAAATGTTCCGCTGCTTTAAATTGACAAAGGTTCCATATCGTGACTCCCCCCAGGTGGAGTTTTATCACAGGTAAGAAATGCTGTGTACACGCGTCCAAAAGTGGATGGATTCCAAATGGCCGACATCCAGGGGGCGATTGTTTGTAAGGAAATTTGGTGAATAATACGACTAGAAAACATATTCGGCGCCCGGCGCGAGGGGCCTTCACAGCTGTAATGACCGAGCCCATACTGGTATGACCCGCGCCGGGAGCGGGCGGACGGCGATGTACGGCTCGAGGTCGAGGAGTTCGCAACCCAGCCTGAAGCAGAGAGGAGACGTCTCTACTATAAATGTAGAAAAAATTAATTGGCCAAGTACATGATATACTCAAGAAAAATTACGGGCAAAATGGCGTGGCGCATGCCTGTAGTCCCAGCTCCTTGGAGGCTGAAGGCAGAGGATCGCTTGAGCCCCGAGTTTTGAGGTTGCGCCGCTGCGTGGAGTAAGCTGACGGCATGTGCATCCATCTACAGCCTTGGGCACAAAGCGAAGACTCTGTCCTCCAAAGAAAAAAAAAAAAAGCAAAGAAGAAAACGGAACCTCCATTCCATGCAGCAATAAGAAAAAAAAAAAAAAAAAAAAATGCAAAGATTTGGTGGATGTCCACATGCCACACAAAAATAGCTACTTTTCGGAGCCAGGACTGTCCTGCTGGCACGTAAGGAGCGGCTGGCTCCGGGGTTTACTGCAGGCCCGTACGTTCTAGGAATCAAGTTGTCAGAGCCTGCGTGTCTCTAACAGCAACCCCAGGGTGCGGGGAGTCAGTGCTGTGCCGGGAGGTCGCGTGTCATCGTAACGAAAGCTCTTTATTGACATCTTGTTGTGTGTGGCATCAAATGAGGAGCCAAGTATTTCTCATTTCCTGAAAGAAATGAGCTTTTATTGCTGCAATCTGAAGGCGAAAAAGGAAAGGAAATGAACGATTCTAGTGCACACATAGGTCTCGGGCAACTGCCGGATGGGATTCATGTCGTATTTACTCCATAGAATAATCAATTATGTGAAGGAGGTAACATTATCTCCATTTTATGGATGGGTAAACTGAGGCTTCAAGAGGCAAAATGATTGCAATGACGAGGAGGGGGCAGGCTGCAGCCCCAGCCTTCCTAAGTCCCGAGTGACAGTCTCGTGCCCATGCACAAGGGCACTGTTCTTCCTTTCCTGTTTTTTTCTTGTTCTCTTATTTTTATTCCTTTCTTTTCAAACAACTGCTGTTGAGGATGCTCTTCCAGAGACACACTGGCTCATGATCGGTGACTCTGCTCGCCTTGGTGATAAACCAAAGGCCTGGGAAGCTATTGGAGAGGGAACCCGTGTGTGTGTGTGTGTGTGTGTGTGTGTGTGTGTGTGTGACAATCTCAAGGGGCACAGGTGGCCCTGCAGGTGCACAGGTGCACAGCTCCGTGGCGATGGGACCAAGCTGTGCAAAGTGGGGTGAGGTTAACTCACTCGGGCACCGCCACGACCAGGGCCACCTGCAACTGTCACCCAGCCAGGTTCCGCCCGCGTCTCTTCCGTGTTCAGGAAGGAAACTCAGGGAGTTCAGCTTACCTTTCCGTAGGAGCCCTGGCCTAACACTTTCAGCAGCTCAAACTGGGAAGGGTCTGCCTTTTCGAATCCTTCTTTCACATGGTGGCTGATGTCGATTTCCTTCACGATGCCTTCTTCCTGCAAGAGAGCAGCGACATAATGACACAGACACAGAGCCACAACCCCTCCTTCCCTGCAGCAAGGGATGGCAAGATGCGTAGTTACGGGTTTTTAGGGGGGGAGTTGGAAAGCTACACGCCAGTTAGCTTTACATGGCGATCTTGGTGATGCGAGACAGTCATTGTTCACTGGCACATGAGCTTTCTCTGTTTCTTTTCTCCACGGACGTTTGCCGTTCGGTTTCACCGGGGAGACCTAAAGGCACTCCCAGTGGAATCCACCTGTTCCTTAACAGTTTGGGCAAAAGGTTTGGTATGGGGACAAAATGGCCCTGAGAATGCTCTTGTTTTGACATCAGCACTGCTGTGCTCAAAAAGGCATCGCCAGGTCCCCACACGCGGAAGTGGTCCGTGCCAGGCAGGTGGCCTGCTCTGCCGCCCCTCTGCACACTATCCCTGACACTTCAGCCACTGCGAATGTGAGGTCCCTTCACAGCTATCTTACAGATTGCAGGGTTTTAGAAGAGGCAGTCAGATGAGATTTTCTGCCTGCCCAGAAGCTAGATTTTTTTTCCTTAGGAAAAAGAGTCTTTGAATTGAAAGATGGACAGAAACCTTTATACATTTTCATTTTCATCACAGAGCTTCCTTCCTGTCCCCAAAGACCATTCCTTGCACAGGGGCGGGCTACCTGCCCAAACGCTGGCAACCGGGAAGCAGGTGTTTTCCCAGCACCGGGCATGAGAGCCTGACTGTTCCCGGAGTTTCTCTCTGTACTTCTCCGAGAGTCCCTTTCAACCCTTCCTACGCCGGACGCTCCACACCTTCCCACACCTTTCCACGGTGCCGGCGTTGGGCGAGGGGCCCACGAACGTCAGCGGGAGCTGGACCTAAACCTCATCTGAAACAGCGGCCAGGAACTGCACACAGAGTGTGTGCTGGGAGCCAAGGGCTTTGCATACGTCATTTCTCCTATTCACTGCAAAACGCTATAAATCGGAGATCTTATCCGGAGACTCCCATTGCACAGCGAGAAGTGACAGGTGGGTTCCAGCCGACCACGGACTTTGAGGCCATATATCTCCTCCTTCTATTTCAGTCTGAGAGCAAACACTTTCCCATGAAATCAGCAGTAACTTACGTTACAACATTTGCAAAAATTCAGTTTCTCAAAATAGTCACGAGTCAATTGGATAATTCACCTCCGCATAACAAACACAGACACCTACAAAAGCAGGAAGGTGGTCTTGGCTGTGAAATGCACCCTGAGGAGCAGTTATCTCGGCTTTTCCCTCTGACAAAGGAACCGCTTTGATCTCCATGTCTTCTACAGATTATCTGCTCTTTTTGTAAAAACAATGGTTTATTTATTTGTGAAGACAATGAACATAGCCAAACTGATTCTCTTTTGTCATTCATGAGGTTTGTATGAGCTCAGTTAGAAGATATAAAATTGTAATTTCATTGCTTCATAATTGCTTCTTGAATAAATAAGTAGAAATGCTGGAGGCATTGCCCAACCAAAGGGCATTATGTTTATTTAGATCAGGGATCCTCAAACTTTTTAAACAGGGGGCCAGTTCACCATCCCTCAGACCGGTGGAGGGCCGCTGGAGAGCGCAGTGCACATTCCACACACGCGCACTGTGTGCTCAGTGCAAGTTGGCTACTAAGCAGGACAGGTAGCGGCGGCAAAAACACCTGGCGGGCCGGATAAATGTCCTCGGCGGGCCGCGTGTGGCCTGTGGGCCGTAGTTTGAGGACGCCTGATTTAGATCATAATTTGGGGGTAGAGCTCACGTTCTGAGACGTTATAGCCTTACAGCTCAGGCTGTCTGGAATTGTAGGATCGCTGCAGCTGTAGGAGGTTTTGCAGCTTCTGCACGCAAATCTCCTGATTTGCAATGGATAGGAAGAGTGAAATGGGGACTCAGGGCTCTGCCTGTGTCACTCGGGTTGTCCACAAGGACAACTGCATCCGATGTGGCAGCTGAATGAAGACTGGCTTCCCACATAGAAAACAACGCCAAGAGCTGAAGCTCTAAAAAATTCCCCAAGTCCCCATAGAAACATATATGCTATCTTTTCCTGCCATTGACCTGCCCATGGAAGGAGGACACTGAAGAGTGTTTGTCATTTAAATGAGAATACAATGCCCCTCTTCGGTTAAGAAAGCGCTCTCCCGGAATGGGCCCTTGAACGTCCTCTACCTGTGCTGACGGCGTGAGTCACCAGACTCCCAGCTCTCCTCCCAAAATAGCTCCAGCCGTGCAGCTGAGCTAACGCAACACCTACACCACGAAGAAGGTAACGGTCACCGAAGCTCGTCTTTCCGTGGCTTCACTGCGGTGACGCGAGCACAGGAACGCTCACGCTGCTGCACAGAGTGTAAAACGCAGCACGTCCACAGGCCTGGGGCGGGTGCAGGAACGAAAAACGGCAAGAAGGCCTCGGGCACAGGAGGCTCCGACTCCACGACCACGGCTCTCTCCCGCAGTCCCCTTCCACAGCACTTGGGTATGTTCCCGAAGGCTTTCAGATCCTTCTGTTAGTCAGCAGCTCTTTCTGGACAGCCTCGGCCCACAGCTGGGTGAACACGAGCTCACGCCACCGTCGGGCCCCGGTCCTCCGGGCTGCTACGTGGGACACACACCAGACGGCCCTGCCCAGCAGCACCGGGCCGGCACACCCGTCCCCTCTGCCCCTCGGGAGTCCCCCGGGCTCCCCTGCTTGCCGGTAAGCCGGCTTTGAAGTGGGCTTCACGCCTTTCTAAGAACGCCCCGCTCGGCACCCCAGGCCGCCTGGTGCACGGCACCCGCCCTCCTCTCAGCAGTGCACCTTCTCGATTCACTGCCGAAACGCTGCAAATCCAAGGTTTGGACGCACACCTCTCATAACATGTCGAGGTTTGCGCAGATGCTTGCTGTCACAGTGTTTAGAGCAAACGCACCCGAGGCACATACGTAATTTCATCTCCTAGAACAAGACGGAAGCTGCCAGTTGTCTTCGTCCATAATACTGCGGCACAACTCATTTCTCCTTTAAAATCAATAAGGTCCTTAGCAGCAAAGAACCGTAACTACTGATGGAGAGGAAGGAACAAAGAGCGTCACTGCTGCATCTTAGATCTCAGAGTTCTGCATTCATAGCGACCTTGTAGCTTGAACTTGACTGAGGACGCTTAACTTTGTTCTTCACTTTACCAAAAAAGTAAAAACAAAGCAAATCAAAACGAGGTCTGGTGCCGCAGGGAACTCGGGGCTGAGGGCGGGTTCCGTGTGAGCAGAAAAGCACAGATGAAGCCGGACAGGTGCGGGCGCGGCGGCTCAAACCTTTCCGGGCAGCCCTGCCCTCTGCATCATCTCATGTAAATGATGCTCGAATAAAAGCATCATTCGTGTTTCATTTGGAAGTAAGTGCCTCTTCTCTTTCGGGAGGCAGGTTGTTTCATCCAGAGCTCTGTGTGGATTTTAACGCGATTCCCTCTGGAAGATGAAGTCTGTTGCCAAATCTGCCATGCACACGGCACTAGACATTTGGATCCTCGCAAAGCTCCCGTGAGCGGTGCTTTTTAAAGTAACTCGAGAGATTTGGGAGGAGAAGCTGGTACCAAGACCAGGTGCTCACTCCACAAGCAACGATGCCCAAAATTTTGTAATGTGAGAGATAAAAACTGGAGATACAAATTGCTTAAATGATGCTAATGTGACAAAACAACTTGTGACGATGCGTTTTTAAAACCCCTGCTGAACTGCACTTGAAATTCTGACCCATGGGAAAGGCCCCCTGCAGGTACTCCAGGGGAGAGGGCAGGAAGCTGGGTGGGGGGAGGCAGCGCAGAAGTGGCCGGGGGTGGGGGTGAGTAGGGTAGACAACAGCTCCCTGCCTTTCTCTAGCCAAAGTCACCTTCTCAGGTAATTTCCTCTGTTCTGAATCATCTGCTTTTCATGTCCCTAAAAGTATGACATTTATGACAAGTAAACATTAAAAGCTGTGAAATATTAATCATAAAGACATAGGAAGTAAAAATTAGATAAGCGTTAGCTTTATTTCCAAAAGAGGGGGAGAGGTCATTCTATTAACAGAAGTCACAGATTCACGTGTAGGATATCAATGTGCAGGGAAATGATAGAATAAATTATTACACGGGTGGTTTAGACAGCTGACGTCTTTCTACTTCCGACAGTGCTGCTAGGCCAGCAGATGCAGGTGAACGAGGCCTGGCTTTGAGGAGAGCTTTGGCAGGGTCTCCCTGAGGCTCAGGTGAGCACGGGGCTGGGTCGCACGAAGGGGGGATGACAGCCCCACAGCCCGCCCTTCCCAGGACAGGCATGTGATGCGCCCACAGGGCAACAGCACCTTGCTCCTCAGGCTTCTAACGGAGCTGCGTCGCCACCTGCCTCCTCAGGATCTCCACGAGGAACTTGCTGAAGTGCAGATTCCAGGCCCGGGCGCGGCTGTTTCGTCTGCAACCCCTGCATGGGGTCTCGGCTCGGAGCGCGGCTTCACTCACAGTCTGACTTGCCCCATCACGGCAAGACTGCTCCTGCAGAGCCGTCAGAATCTTGCCCGTTGCCAAATCCAGCGGCCGAATTTCAGTCCTCAGGGCACCTCCTTGAGACCCTGTCCCCGCCGATTCAGAACATCACACTGCCCGGACCCCTCCCCCTACCACCCCAGGTTCTTCCTCATCTCTGTGTCTCCACGCCCCTGGTCTCTTGCCTCCCTGTGATCACCCCCTGGGGCCCGGTCCCAGCCCGGGGCTTTCTATTACCATGGAAACGCGCACACCTCTCACACCTCAACCTCCAGCTGCCACCTCTCCCGGAGGCTCATCCCAGACAGCTGTCCTGAGTGTGTGCGTGTGCACGCGTGTGCACGTGTGGGCATCCGTGGAACGCACGTGAGTGTGGGATCTGACGCGGTGCCCAGTCGGGCTGTGCTCGGGTCTGTCCTCACACTGGGGGGGGCTCCCCGAGGCCTCCCCTTCCTGCAGGGTGGGGTGAGGGGTGCCGCGGG